TTGCACCAATATATATAACATAGTTTTTTAAGTAATTTATTTAACTGACATCCCGATTGAATTTTTAGTGAAAAATTGGTGGAGAACATGATCAAAAAACTTCATAAAAAAATCCACCCGGAAGCACTCAAAGCTAGGTGGCCAGACGGCGGCTCTGTCCGGAAATTCCAGACAGGATTTTAGGTGTGTGTGTGTGTGTGTGTGTGTGTGTGTGTGTGTGTGTATATATATATAAAATAAAAAGGATAAAATGATAAATAACATGAGAAAGATAAAGATAAGAGATTAATCCTCCACAAGAATATATGTCCTTCACCTTGCTCTCTCCAATGCCAACTCTCATCCATGATTCTAAAAATCGGCCTAGGGCCCGCCTAGGCACCGCCTAGTCGCTAGGCAGTTGCAGGCGCCCCAATTTCGTGGTAATCGGTGGAAAAAATCGGTCAGCCAATGATTTAGGCGGTCTAGACGGTGGCTAGGCGGTCCGACCTAAATTTGTTCTCGGCCCAACTTTTTTTTTCCATTTTTCTTAAAACATTGTTTGATCAATAAATATTCTATTCCTATAAAATTAATTATCATATTCCCACATCAAAAAATAATATTTAAATGTATATAAACTTCTTAGAATATCTGAACAATTTTAGAGACTAAAAGCACAAATCTCATATTCATCTATTAATTATTCATTTTTGAGAATTTTACTACAATACTATAACATTTAGTGATTATATGAGCTATTTCTATTCAGTGGCGGACCCAGAAAAATAGAGTCACGGGGTCTCTACTTTAATGTAATTCTAATTATTAATATAAAATTACGGGGGAAAAGTAAAATTACACTCATTGGTTTACATGCTTAATTAATTGAAGAATTAGACAACAACAGTAACAATGATCATAAGTAATATAGAAATTGCTCTAAATAGGAGCAAAACTTTTTGAAATTCCAAAATAGGAGTATCATATTTTTTATTCCCTGAATATGAGTGATCTGCCAAGTTTGAAAAAAATGTCATGTTTTAAAGCCTAGTAATGCCAAACTTGGCAGAAATTTACTCTTATTCAAGGAATAAAAACATGATAGTTCTATTTTGGAATTTCAAATTTTTTTTACTCCTATTTAAGGAATTCTACCTAAGTAATAACAATAATTTTGTAATTTTTCAAAAAAAACAATAATTCTGTAATAACAACATGTCTTTAAAAACAAGATGTACGGACTAAGAAGCGCTATAATATCAATACTTATTCTACTTACCATTTAGGTCTGTCCTTTGTTTTGATGTATGGAATAAGTATAAAAAAATAAAAGAAGCGCTATAATATCAATATTTGTTCTACTTACCATTTAGGTCTGTCCTTTGTTTTGATGTATGGAATAAGTATAAAAAAATAAAAGAACAGGGGTGTCAGAGAGAGTCGAACACGGTACCTCCCCGCAAGAATGGTCTTTGAAATGATGCCAGTTACCATAATGCTAAACCACTTGTTGTGTCCTCTTCGTGCTTTAATTATAAATATATACATGTCTTAGTTAAATTTATATAAAAATATATATAATATATATAGGTATTTTTTTGGAAGTTCATGGGGTCCCGGGACCCCGTGGGACCCTTAGTGGGTCCGCCACTGTTTCTATTGTCAAAATAATATAAAATTATTAGTAAAGATTTTTGAAATTCATAGGAAATGAAAAAGAAAAAAATAGAGGAAATGCCTAGGCGCTTTAGACGGCGCCTAGGCGTCCGCTTAGGTGGACTACACGCTAGGCAGCTAGTCACCGCCTGACTAGCGCCCAACGCCTTTTAGAACACTGCTCTCATCCAACTCACGAAGAAGTTTATCACTCCCGACTCCTCTAATCCACTTATGTTTTGGTTTTCTTCTCTGCTCCTTGCATCTTCTCCACACCTCTCAACTCGTCTAACATGTGCATCATTCGGTCTTCTATGCACATGATCAAACCACCGCAATCTTATTTTCAATATGTGCTACTCCCACCTTTTGTCTGATTGTCTAATCCTCAAGAGGTCTTTTCTACTATTTGAAGTAATTATGCTGTATGAAGCCAAAATTCCAGTGTTAGAGAAGTGAATAAAAGTTTGTATTAATCTAAGACATTGGAGATGAATAGATTATTCTCACTTCCATGCTCCTCTGAATGAATGTTATTGCACTATTGCATTACACCTAAATATAATGAAACTAAACCAGCCAAATGGGGAGCATGTTGGCTATCTTGTGAAGCCTGCTTCCTGCTTGAGACTAGAAAGGAGGGATGATCTATCAAGAATGTTAAGCATGGCCATGCATATGATCCAATGAGAGCAATTAATATTGTGCTCATATTATTGACTTTTTGTTTGTAGATCCGTGATATGAAAACTGGAGCACTAGTGATTGCTGCGCCATTCGCATTTGCATTGGGCATTTTGGGATCTGTTTTTGCAGTCATGCTAGGTATGTGTAAAAGTGAAACTAAAGTAAGATGAGGTGACTAGGTGAGAGCCTTCACCAAATAACTCAAGCATGTTTGTTTAATTTATGGGGAAAATAATTAAAATATCCCATACTTTGAAGAAGTGTGAGATAAACACACCAAACTTTCATATGTAATTCAAATACCCCAAACTTTATATAAAAATTATTTTAGCACCATGGTCATATATTACCGTATTTCTTTTTAAAATGTAAATTTATGGTGTTAATTGCATAATTTAAAATAGAAAATTAAAAATGCTACAATTATATAGAGTGGGGTAGTATTATTTATTTTTCAATGGAAGTTTATAGTGTTGATTGTATCTCCATGAATGCTAAAATATTTTAAATTATGAATTTAACATAAAAAATTAACATTTTTGGAAGAAATAATACATGACCATGATGCTACAATAACTTTTTTATATAAAGTTTGGGGTATTCAAATTACATATGCAAGTTTGGGGTGCTTATCTCACACCCCTTCAAAGTTTGGGGTATTTTAATTATTTTTCCCTTAATTTATTTAAGATGTATTTAGAATATTTTTAGATGATTGAGCAGAACTAGCCAATTCCACCACAATTTCAGAAAATTCAGTAGATGCGGGCTATTTAGCCACTTCAACCATTTTATGTCTTACCAAACGTGCTCTAAATGTTTTAGAGCTCTTTTCATAAGGCTAAACTTGACTAAAATGGCTATAGTAAGGAATTTGTTGAAATTGTGGCTAAAATGGTTGAATTGATTGAAATGAGTTTAGAATTCCATTCTCAATAAGCTAATTAAAAATAATACAAAAAACGAGGTGTTATGAGTTTCATTTTCATTCATTTTGTAAAATAAAGCAACACTTGCACTCCTTGAATTATCACTAATTTAATCACCACTCAAATAAACTGGTGTTCCCTATGAAAAGTGTGCTGCCAAACAGGCACTAGTTTTCTTATGTTAACTTTTGAAATTAGAAAGACACTACATTTTGTTAATGAAATGTTCTCTTTCAATGCAGCAATTAAAGAGTACATATGGACATATACTGCTTTAGAATTTGCACTGGTGGCTTTGCTCCTAAACCTATTCTATTCTACGGTGACATTTTAGTTTTCTTCACCTTTGAGTGTCTTATTTTTTCTTGGATTTCTCATTCTCCCCATAACTGAAGGAAGAAAATATGTCATCTTTTGGCAGCTCCATTTTCCGGCCGCTTACTCGGTGATGATTTCATCTGTTGTGGGGTTTGGAGGCGTTGTTTGCCTCAACTTTTTGTACATACAATATTTCAATTGGAGAGTTCAAGTGTCCCAAAGCTCTGAACCAGTATGAACCCCTAAGATGATTGTTATTTGTAAATGCATGTTTTGCCCCCTCTCAAATGAACCAATGGGACAGCGTAGCTAGAGAGTATTATCCTGTGGGTTTTGAGGGAGTTAAGTGAAGGAATTATCCAGGAAGCATTTTTTGTTGTTCCATTTTGGGGGTTTCAACATTATCCGTTCTTATTTGATAAAATCTGGAATTTATGTATATGCTTTGTGCATCAAATAAGATTTCCAGCATTCCTATTTTGTGATGTCCCTGAATCAAACATCTTATTCTTGCTACATAAACCACAAATATACAGAGTAAAAACACGATCCTAAGGTGGTGGAATGTTTGTATGTAGAAATCCACCAAAATCATTTAAAATCCATCCAAATAATAGAAATTTACTGGATGTTTGAGAACACCATTATTTTCATAGATTCTACATATATTCAAATTGGGAACACTAAATTCTAACGAAATTATAAACTCCATTAAAATCCTCCAGAATTTATATCGACCTACATTGTTTAGTTCAAAGAGCACAACTGCACGAGGAATCAAGGATAAATATTGTTGGAACCCGACCCAGGTAAGGAAATACTTGGTGATTTGTTTCTGGGGTCATCCACCAGCTTAGTTTGTGATTAGAAAAAATTGACTATCGCTAATTAGGTCTCGAATTGTGTCCGCCCTAAAGAAATGGTTGGGAAGGTAAATGATGTTTTATGTGGGTGATTTTGTTTGTCACTAAAAACATAAGGAATTTTGTAAATGGTTAGTTTTCAAGTATTCGAGTCTTACGGTTACATTTCATCTTTCAGGTCCTCATATTTATCTATTTTTCATTTCCTATAGAGAAAATTTCAAAATGTCCCATAGTTATTTAGTTAACAACACTTTATTCCGTGATTTCCGTCAATAAAAAAACAACACTTTATTTAACGTCTCATTTTACTTGTCATATTTGGTATTCCTCAAATAAATTGTATGTTTGTTATTCAATTATTTTTTTTTATAATTCAATAGTTCAAACACTAGTGCAATTCTCAAGGACTATATATGAGTATTTTTTAAGTAAGTTTTATTTTTTCATGTGCTGTTTTCAGAGTTGGATACAAAATATTTTCAATCTTGCCTCACACAATTTTATTGTTTGTTCCATTTTGGCACGTTCCAAAATATTTTGTATGGTTCAATATCATCCATTCATCCATATTTACAAATCCAATATAAAAAGAGCAATTTCACATTTTCACATTTCCCAAAATCTCACGTCACTTTCTTCAGAAGATAATAATATTAGGAGAGAGATGCGATTTAAAAGTCTATACTCTGTAGTACCCTCCTATTCCCTAGCTCCCCATAACAGAACTCAAACACTCCCGTTTCCTTTTTCCATCTTCAAAGCCTCGAGGCTCCAGCCAGTCAGCCAGACAAGGGGTTTATTCAAATGGGTAGGCTTCCAAACTTTATAAGAGCATGACCTAATTATTGGTATATTACATCAAACAATTCTTGAACTCCAAAATAAAAACTCTAGTTTATATACTAGAACCCGACATATGCAAAAGACAAATAGCCACCTTATCAGTGCTCTTTGTACATAAAGTTAAAATCAAATAATGCTCCCCAGTTTTCAACCGTTACTTAAAACTAGAACAGCTTGCCTGCAAAACAATACGTAATCCAACAGCTAAGTAGCCTTGTTCTCGTTTCAAACTAGAAAAAGTGGGTTCACCACTCCAGTTTTTCATGTTAATTTGAAGAGATTCCCTTGACCTGTCCATTAATCATGCTGCTAACTGGCAAGGAACCAGGGTCGAGTTCAAAAGATCCACTAGGAATGCCTTCCCCTTCTGTTCCTTTCATCTTGAAACTAGAAACCTTGTGGGAGAATCTAAACACCTCTTTCAAGGAAATCCAAACCCTACTCTTCTCATCCTTGCGGGTAAAAAGGGACCTATACCCCTTCACCTTAACCAAAGGAGCAACATCCACACCGCCACTAGACTTACAGCAATCTGATAAAACCTCAACAAATTCATACTCAAACTTTGTCTTGATTTCAATATGAGAGTGCCAGTTGATATCCCAGTCTTTAAAGATTGCCCAAGTTTCACCCTTTTTAGGATATATGTTGTAGGAGGATTCTTTTTTAGTCTTTTCTTCTTCACAGCAAACCATGTGAGAGAGCATAGGAAGATGTTTGATGGTTTCAGAACTTCCTAATCTGAATTTACCACAAGAAACTGGTAAACCCTCAATTGCCCATTTCAATTCGTCTTTATCATCAGGATCCGGTTCTAACCAGCTAATTTGCAACTTAAATCCAGGCAAGAAAATCTTGTTTATCACACCATAGAACCTAGGCATGGCATCCAACACATCATAAAAAGCCCATATTTGCCCAACCTTGAAACACTCTACAGTTCTGGTTTTGTCAAAATCATTCAAATCCGGGCAAGGGTACTCGATGAACAAGCCTTCTTTAGAACTTACATCAGTTCTGTGCCTTTTTGAAGAGTTAAAATCTTTAGAACTTACATCAGTTTTGAGCCTTTTTGAAGAGTTAAAATTTTCAGAAGAATCACGCTGCCTTGACCGGGCTGATTGCCTATTGATTACTTCCTTCTTAGATTCCGTACTTACTTTACTTTCATTTCTGCCCTTTGTAGAAAGGTCCACGGGAACGGTTTGTGGATTGATCTTGACGTGACATTGGGGGGTATTTTTTTCATTTTGTTTCTGGCCTGGAGTGTTTATCTCAGACGCAACAAACTGTGTCTTACATTGTTGACACCACAAGAGTTTTCCTTTCATTTCCACATAATACTGATATTTAACCGAACAAAATGAACAGATAGTCCAAAATGTTGGCTGCTGCTGCTGCTGCTGGGTGAAAACAGAACTGTATTTTGCCCTCGAGTGTGATTTTCCAATACCCAAACGTTTCTGGTCGTAAAGGGAACGTTTTTCATTATCCAACAGCACTTTTTGGGCTTCACCAATCAACTTAAAGGCATCTGTGGCACCTGGGAATTTGTTCTTGTCAGGATGAAGTAAGAGTGCAAACTTACGGTACTGTTTCTTTACAGTTTCTCCATTGGATGTGGGGTCTACCTTGAGAATACTATACCAATCATTCTCATTCCCACATATCTTGTGTTCTGAGGAACAATGCACCTCGCAGACTAGAATCATCTGTTCAATGTTATCTAGCTCCGGATAGAGCTTATTAGCTTTGGATGCAATCTTGAGAGCGCCACTGAAATCTTTACCTTCCATCTTCTTCTCTGCAATTTCTTTGGCCCTGATTGCTTCTTCTCTGTTGCACTCCATTTTCCACACAAAAAAGCAGATAAAAACAGAACTCAATCAACACACATTCATTTCATTAATCAGTGTGTACCTGCGCAAAACAACTACAGTGTTAATTCTGATTGAGTTAATAAGCCCCTTCAACAAGGACATATATGTCAAGATAATTACAAATAGAAACCAACCATTCTTTTTATGTATGTGTGTTACATAAAAATGGTGAATATACAGATAAACAACACCCCTAAGCATCCATTAGAACTTGCTTCTATTGCTGCGCAAACAACTTTTAGAACATCTTAATTATCTTAAGGCAACAAAGAGACAAATGATCCCTATCCTTGTAAATGAGAGTATGCTTTTAGAGCCTTGTCTACAGAAAAAAAAAGTCCAACTTAATCAAAAGAAACTAATTTTTCATGTATTTCCAAAAAACAAGTTACAACAAAGTAACTAGTCACAGGTTCAGTAAAATAAACAAAATAAAATGAGAATTATACAAGTATGTAGGATCCCTGACGTTGCCAAAAAAGTATATTGTTCATATTGACCAAACATGACTCTTACACATTAACATCCATAATTTATTTTGAGTAAATATATCATCTGATACGTCCCGAGCTAAAAGGGACACAAAAGATAGGTCATGAAGAGCACCAATTCAAAGATATTATAAAAAATGCTTTCAACTACGGCAAGTTAAGTTTTCTTGAGCAAGTACGTTAAGGGAATAATCCAACTTAATAGACATGTCAGCAGATTAAAGATCCAGATGTCTACCTTTATTCATCACACGCTAAACAACTAACAAAAATGGATTCAATCATGGTAGGAAGAAAAGAAAATTGTCCTTTTTTCAAACGGTTCACACCTTTAAAGAGGTAGCACGTGCTAATGGGCATACTCAAGGAGGTTAACCAGTATACAAGGACTAAATGCTTTTGACCCCGTCTTTGTTTTTATATTTCCATTCCCGATTTCTATATGCGAAAATTGAAACCCTAGAACGGAAAAAATTGCATAAGAATGACGATAAACAAAACAGAAAGGCCTAGCATTTTGGGTGGGATTGAGTTCCGGGAGATGAAGAAAGACGGCAATGAAAGCTTACAGTAAGCTGCAGAGAGCTGACCCGGAGCAAAGGGACAGTGAAAACGATTGGCTCCCTTACGGGGCTTGTTTGGATTGCCTACACCTTGTTACGTCGATTGGCTTCTAGGGTTTGAACGGCATTGCTGGATGATTGAAATGCAACTGTCAAAACTCAACACAAACATTTACTGCGTATTATACGAGTATAATAATATTGTCGGGCTGAAATGCCTTACGCCTGTAGGCTAACTCCACGTGTCCGTAAAATAGAAATATTTACGTATAAAAATGTTTTTGGTAGACATTTTATACTCATTATTATAAAAAAATATATCTTCTACTATTACCATTCAATTTTTAAATTGTACATCACTCCCCCCACCATCTACCTCTCTTTCATCTTATTCTTATTTTATTCAGATCAGATCAGAAAAATTCATATCAAATCAGATCAGATCAGATCAGATCAAAAAGATTCAAATCAGATCAAATCAGATCAGAAACATTCAGATCAGATCATAAACATTCAGATCAGACTAGAAGCATTCAGATCAGATCAGAAACATTCAGATCAGAAACATTCAGATCAGAAACATTCATAGCAAATTGGAAACATTCTATTATTATTATTATTATTATCATCATTATTATTATTTTATTATTGTTAAATAATTATTATAATAATAATAGTTATTATTATTATTATTTTACTATTATAATTATTATTGATATTATTATTATTATTTTATTATTATTATAATTATTATTGATATTATTATTATAATTATTATTATTATTAGTATTAATATTATTATATACTGGTTTAGAAAGTTAATATCATATCAGAAGGATTCAGATCAGACCAGATCAAAATAGAAGCATTCAGATCAGATCAGAAAAATTCAGATCAGATCAGATCAGAAAGATTCAGATCACATCAGATCAGATCAGAAAGATTCAGATCAAATTAGATCAGGTCACAAAGATTCAGATCAGATCAGATCAGAAAGATTCAGATGAGATCGGATTTTAAAAAATTCAAATCAGAAACACTCAAACGAAGAGAACAGCTTCTCACTCTTCGTTTTTCGTTTTCTTTCCTAGTCATCAACTTCACCATCAGGGCGGCCCTAGGGACAGGGGTCCTAAGCCCAATAAAATAAAAAATTTAAACCAGATGTTTAGTCCTTTATAACAGATGTGAGAAGATTTTTGATTGACTTGATGGATAGTGTACCCGGGGGTAGCTTATCCGAGGGGTTATTGCGGGAATAACCTAGAGAGAAGTCAGAGCAATAAGTAAAAGAGAGAGTATGTATTCGAATATGGGATGTTGTTATGCTTTACATTGGAGAATGGGCTGCTATTTATAGCAGCAGTAAATGCTAGATAAAGACACGTGTCAGTAATCTGGTTGTGGAGGGGTCACCTCAACCAGAGTGGCACTGACATACGCATGTGCATTGCATTAAATGCGGTGGGCGGATGTGACGCCGCATTAAATGCGGTTTTTGCTTGTCTCTAAAGGGAATCTTCGATGTATGTACATAACCGAGGGCTATGTAGCCGAGGGCTCTATGTAGCTGAGGGCTAGCTAGCAGCCGAATGCTTCTGATTTCGCCGCTTTCTCCCAGTAGCTCTGTATGTAGAAGATCAGCTGTTTCCTGGATTTTGGAGCCCTCGGCCATGGGGCGGGAGGTACCCGTATGTGCACTGTGGGCTTCTTGACACTTGGGCAGCTATGATTTGGGCCTCTTGTGCTCCTTGGGCCTGTGTTAGAGTAGCAGGAGTCTGTGGGTCGGGGGTCCCTGAGCCATATACTCCATCATGACTTTTTGATAAAAAAATTTGAGCATGTTTTTTATGAAGTATAGATTTTATCCACAAAATTTTAGTTTAAAATTCAATTTAAAAATGAGTTAAATATTTTTTTATCCCGGAAGGCAAACCACTTTTCGGTGGGGTAAATGTCGGGGAACATTTACAGTGTTTAATTAATAGATAAAAATATACCCTAAAGAGAGGAGGATCAAACCAAAACATCTCCCAAGAGGCATACCTCTTAAATAGTAAAGGCATAAATGGAAATCAAAATACATGAGCTAGAATCTGAAATAGGAAAAAACCAAACAACTATTGTGAAATGAAGAAGATGAATAACAAATTTATGAGATAGATATATAGATAAAACCTCTAAATTACTTCTTCTTTATATGTGAAAATTTCTGAGTTTCTGAGTACATTTACAAAGGGTTGATCACCCTATTTATACTAGTTGGCTAGGAGATGAATCATCAAAGAATTATTCTACATAATCTGCTGGAAACATTAAACCTAGCCATCTGTCAATTACAAGGGTGTAAATTCGATTAGTGTCCTGATGACAAGGATGAACAATTCACACTTGTCATTCTCAGGATTTTACAACACTCCCCCTTAGCTTGAATGTTCATCTTTGAATAGATATTTATTATTTTAAAAATTTATTGTGAAAATTAAGGGGTAAAGATTACGACTTATAATGTCGTTGTATTTGGATGTACTGTCTTGTTAAAAACCTTACCAGGAAAAACCCAGTGGGATAAAAACCTGATGAAGGAAAAAAGAGTGTAGTGCATTCAAGTTCTCCCCCTGAAATAAACATAAATTTTGAAGGCGGCGCATGCCGATTTTATGCACAAGTTCTATGAACTTCTTTGGGGGTAAAGATTTGGTGAAGAGATCAGCCGGATTTTCACTAGTTCTGATTTGTTGAATGTTGATCGTCCCTTCTTTCTCCAAATCATGAGTAGAGAAGAATTTTGGTGATATGTGTTTTGTTCTGTCACCTTTCATGTAACCTTCTTTAATCGCTCGAGCTATGCACGCAGTGTTGTCTTCGTAGATCACAGTAGGGTGAATAGTAATATGCTTCATACCGCATTCATTTTGGTGATATGTGCTTTGTTCTGTCACATTTGATGTAGCCTTCTTTAATCTCAGCTATGCACACAGTGTTGTCTTCGTAGATCACATTAGGATGACAAGTAATAGGCTTCATACCGCATTCGTTTTGGATGTGTTGAATCATATATCACAACCATACACATTCTCTTCCGGTTTCATATAGTGCAATTAACTCCGAATGATTCGATGATGTAGCTGTCAATGTCTGCTTCATAGATCTTCACGAGATTGCGGTATTACCATAAGTAAATACGTACCCGGTTTGTGATTTCGTCTTTTGAGGATCTGATAAGTATCCAACATCTGCATATCCGATTAAAGTGGCTTTTGCATCTTTGTGGTAGAATAGACCAAGATCAGGTGTACCACGTAGATAACGGAATATGTGTTTGATCCCGTTCCAATGACGTCTTGTTGGACATGAGCTGTACCTAGCTAATAAATTTACAGAAAATGCAATATCTGGTCTAGTAGTATTAGCTAAATACATCAACGCTCCAATAGCACTCAGATATGGTACTTCGGTACCGAGTATCTCTTCGTTGTCTTCTCGGGGACGAAATGGATCATAATGTATGTTGAGAGATCTAATCACCATTGGTGAAGTCAACGGATGAGCTTTGTCCATATAGAATCTCTTCAAAACTTTCTCGGTGTAATTGGATTGATGGATGAAAATTCCATTCTTCAAATGCTCAATTTGAAGTGCGAGACAAAATTTGGTTCTCCCGAGATCTTTCATTTCAAATTCTTTCATAAGATATTTTGCAGTATTTTCAATTTCATCGGGAGTTCCAATAATGTTTAAGTCATCAACATATACTGCAATTATGACGAATCCCGAATTTGATCGCCGAATGAAAACACATGGACTAATTGGATCATTCTTATATCCTTCTTTGAGAAGGTATTCACGGAGACGATTATACCACATTCGTCCAGATTGCTTTAGTCCATACAATGACTTTTGAAGTTTAAGGAAAACATTTCTCGAGGTTTCGGGCTATAAGCTTCGGGCATTTTGAATCCACTGGGAACTTTCATATAAATGTCTGTATCGAGTGAACCGTATAAATATGCAGTCACTACATCCATTAGGCGCATTTGCAGCCTTTAAAAAATAGACATGCCAATGAGAAATCTTAATGTAGTTGCATCAACTACTCGAGAATAAGTTTCTTCATAATCAATTCCCGGCATTTGAGAAAACCCTTGGGCAACAAGTCGGGCTTTATATCTTACAATCTAATTTTTTCATTGCGTTTACGCACAAATACCCATTTAAAGCCCACTGGTTTTACGCCTTTTGGCGTAGGAACTATCGGTCCAAAAACATCACGTTTTTCAAGTGATTTTAATTTAGCCTTTATAGCTTCATTCCATTTTGGCCAATCATGTCGTTTCCGACATTCTTCTATTGATGTTGGCTCATTGTCATTGTTTTCATTCATAACATTTGTGGCAACGCCATAGACAAATATCTCATTAATATCAATATCTTTTCGATTCCATTGTATTCCAGTAGAAACATAATTTATTTATTGAAATTTCGTAAGTATCAACGTTACTATCATTATCTGGAATATCTTCCTCATTTAAGGAAGTTGGATCATCATTTGAGATGTTTGTTTTGTCAATATCATTTTCTATGCCAGTATTTTCAAATTGTTCACTTTCTTGTTCAGAAGGATGAACATCTTTGGCATCACAGATGAATTCTTGCCTTTTATTTTTTCTTGGTTTTATGTCTTTTGATCCAAGTGGCCTGCCACGCTTTATGCGTATAGAAGAATCGTTTGCAAGAGATTTTTCAAAATTCTCTGTTGGGATTTTGATTCAGGCAGGGGCATTCATAGCAGGAATATGTGACTTTATCACTTTCTTTGTATCTGTGAACGCATCACGCAACTGATTTGCAACATTTTGTAAATGGATTATCTTTTGAATTTCTTGCTCACATATATTTGTTCTTGAGTCAAGATGTGATAATCCTGTTGCATTCCATGTTATCTCTTTCGTACTTGGGTCTGATTTATTCTTTTCTCCCCCCTAAGGTTGGGAACATTGTCTCATTGAAATGACAGTCTGCAAACCGTGCTGTGAATAAGTCACCAGTCATCGGTTCGAGATATTTTATTATTGAGGGAGATTCAAAACCAACATAAATTTTCAACCTTCTTTGAGGACCCATTTTTGT